ATAATAAAAGCTTAGGTGGTGTTTCTTAATTAAGGGATGCAATCGCAGGGAATCAAGAGGGAGGAGAAAGGGAGTAAGGAAGGGAAGAGAGCCAATACGGAGATGAGTTTCAGAGCTGGCCACCACTTGGCATGAGAAGCATCTGACTGCTGAACCTGAGGGACCCTCTCACAAGAGACTTTCTAATGAACGTGATGTGTGACAGTCCATTCAGGTCGAGGTAGGGGAAGAATTTATCCACTGGCTTCCATCTGTCATCACCAAAGAATAAGCCCAAGTTTGTTCACTCGCCTGCACTTTGGTTACAAGCTTGTGGGTGCTGGGGTGGTCCTTCATTATCCCACACCTCTGGGGTGTGGTTAGGGTTAGGTTAGGGTTAGGGTTAGGTTAGGGTTAGGGTTAGGGTTAGGTTAGGGTTAGCAGAGAAGCCCCAGGGCATGATGGGAGGAGCCAGGAGGTTGTACTTGAAATGGGGAAAAAAGTAGCAAGGTGAGGCTGGAGGAGTTAGGGTTAGGGTTAGGGTTAGCAAAGAAGCCCCAGGGCATGGTGGGAGGAGCCAGGAGGTTGTACTTGAAATGGGGAAAAAAGTAGCAAGGTGAGGCTGGAGGATCTGAGGTGGTACCCAACAGGCAACTGATACAGAATGGAGATGCTGGGCCATGGGCACTTGGAGATACAGCCAGATGGTTTACCGCATGGACAGGGGTCACCGAGCACACCCCCTCCAGCACAGTACAGAAGTCCTACGTTTCTCCACACCCTCGCCAACCGCGGTGGTGAATGTGCGGTAGTATCTCATTCTGGTTTTAAGTGGCATTTCCCTGATGACTAATAAGGTTGAGCACCTGTTCAGGAGTTTACCAGCCCCTTGGACATCCTTTTTTTTTTTTTTTTTTTTGTGAAGCACCTACTTAAAGTCCTCTTCCTACTGATTTGTAGTGGCTTTCATATTTTTTAGATATAAGCTCTTTATCAGGTATTCATATTGAAATGACTTCTCTCACATGTGGCTTACTTTTCCCTCTCTTAAACATGCCTTTTGATTAACAGAAGTTTCTAACTCTAACGGAGTCCAATTCATCATTTTTTTTTTTTTTTTACCAATAGTGCTTTCTGTGTCCTGTTTAAGAAAGTGAATCTTTTTTTTTTTTTTTGTCTTCCTCCAACTGCTCTGTTGTTTTTATCTCTACACGCACACTTCATACGCACAGCCATGGACTTGGTGTTAGGATGTGGTATAACGTAGAGGTGAAGGGTATTTTTTTTTCAATATGGATACTTAATTGATCCGGCACCATTTACTGAAAAGTCTGTGCTCTGGGATGGCAGTTTGTGGTGGTACCCCAGGATCCTGGAGACAGATCGGTTTATTTCAGCAATGTCTGCATTGTTCCACTGGTTGGTTTGTTTATCTTTGCGTGGTTACCACATGGTTGTTAGCTGTAGTAAGTCCTCCAACTTTGTTCTTCTTCGTATATATTTTAGAATCAGCCTGTCAAATTTCGCCACCTCTCTCCCCCTCCCCCAAATCCAAGCAAGTAACAACAAAACCCCTTGGGAGTAATGTGAGTGTTTTGGGTCTCTAGATCAAGTCTACAGATCAACTTGAAGAAAACGAATACCTTAAATTCTAATCCATGAACAGAGTATACTCCTCAATTAATTTATATGTTTTACAGTTTCTCTAGGTGATGTTTTATAGTTTTCTGTATAGAAATTATACACATAATTCACTAGATTTGTTTTTAGGTATTTGATTTTTATGCTGTTAGAAATTTTATTTTCTAGTTGGTGCTGGTACATAGAAATACAATTAGTGGGGCGCCTGGATAACTCAGTCAGTTGAGCATCTGACACTTGGTTTCACCTCAGGTCATGATCTCATGAGTCACGGGAGTGAGCCCTACATCGTGCCCTGCATTGGGCTCCACACTCAGCATGTAGTCTGCTTGGGATTCTTTCTCCCTCTCCCTCTGCCTCTCCCCTGCTAGTGCTCTCTCTCTCTCATGCTGTCTCTCTCTCTCTCTCTCTCAAATAACATCCTTTTTAAAAAAAAGAAATGCAATTAGTTATTATATATTGACCTAGTATCCAGTGACTTTGCTAAATTAACTAACCTTAAATTTACTTGTATATTTTTTTACCCAATAGTGTCATATGTAAGAGACAGTTTTGTCTTTTTTTTTTAAGATTTATTTATTTATCTTGGAGAGAGAGAGAGTGGGGAGGCAGAGGTAGAGAGAGAATCTAAAGCAGACTCCCCACTGAGTACAGAGCCCAACACAGTGCTCAATCTCATGACCCTGAGATCATGACCTGAGCCGAAATCAAGAGTTGGACTTTTAACCGACTGAGCCACAATACAGTTTTATGTCTTCCTTTCCTATTTTCGGACCTTTCTATTTCTTTTCAGATTAGCTTCTTTCACTTAATAACATGCATTTATGTTTTCTCTATGTCTTTTCATCACATAATAGCTCATTTCTTTTCAGCACTGAATATCACTCTACTGTGTGGACATACCACAGTTTATCCATTCACCTACTGAAGAGCATCTTGGTTACTTCCCAGTTTGGGCACTTTTGAATATAGCTAGTATAAACACTCATGCACAGGTTTCTGTGTGGATATACGTTTTCAATTCCTTTGGGTAAATATCAAGGAGTAGGACTGCTGGATTGCATGATAAGAATACGGTTTGTAAAAAACTGCCAAACTGTCTTCCAAAGTGGCTATACCATTTTCCACTCCCACGAGCAATGAATAAGCGGTCCTGTTGCTCCACGTCCTCACAAGCATTTAGTGTGGTCATTGTTCTAAATTTTGGCGACGAAAAGGTGAGCCCTTTTTCTTCTTTTTCTTGCCTTATTGCACTGGCTTGGACCTCCAGCACAATGTTGATGAGTGCTAACATTCTTCCTCGTTTCCCATCTCAGTGGAAAAGCATTCAACATTTCAGTATTAAACGTGATGTTAGCTGTAAGGTTTGGGGGGGTTGTTTGTTTCTTGGAGGACTTGGGGTTTGGGTAGAAACCTTTATCAGACTGAGGAAGTTCTCTTCTGTTTTTAATTTGGTGAGTACATTTTGTTTGTTTAAATCATGGATGACTACTTTCTGAATCTATTGAGAAGATGTTATGGTTTTCTTGCTTTTTTTCTGTTAATGTGGGGAATTGTACTGATTGACTTTGGGCTGTAAATCCCCTACGTCTTCCTCCAAGATCGGAAGAGCGGTTCAGTTAATGTGGGGAATTGTACTGATTGACTTTGGGCTGTAAACCAATCTTGCCAACTTTTTATTCCCATTGGGATTTGCAGATTCTAGTTCAATTCCACTAAAATGTCCTCTTGAACTGTGGGTCTGGACAATAATATGCAAATTCCATCCTACCGGTGCCCTAGAGTCACTCCTCTTCAAACCCATATTCCACATTTCAGGAGCCATGCTCAAAACCCACAAGCTCCTGGCCAGTGCGTGAGGCTCGCGCCAACCCCTGGACGCACTAGCCCTGGCTGGACGCTCTCCCAGCGGACCCTAGCTTTGCAAAGGCCCCTGGGTGGGGAGAGTCAAACCAGCAGTGACACCCCAGCTCCCCACCCCACCCAGCGACATCAGGAGTCTCCGGAGCCGTGCGACCGCCCCCACCCCGCCCCCTGCGCGAGGCTCCTTTAAGAAAGCCGGCGGCTGAACGCGTCTCTGGGGCGGGAGGCAGAGGGCGCCAAGAATGCCGGACTCCGACGCGAGCGCGAAGGCTGAAGCTTCGCCGGTGGCCTCCCCCGCCGCGTCCCCCCAGCCCTCCACCCGGGGTCGTCCGGCTCCCTACCCCCAGCCCCCGCCCCACCCCGGGGCTGCCCGGAGGCCGTCGGGGCCCGGCGAGGGGGGGAAGGACGGGGCGCCCGGCGCGGCCTCATCCACATGCAGGGGACGGCGCGCCGCGGCGGCCGCCAGGAAAGCACAAAGGCTGTTCCGCCGCCGGCCGCACCGTGCCAGGCTCGCCCCGCCCGCCGCCCCGGTGGCCCCCGACACCGCCCCCCTTGTGTCTGCTCCGCGGGCCGGGGCTGCACGGTCCCGAAGGCTTCCGGGAGGAGGCGGCTTCCTTGGGACCCTGCACGCCCGACATCCTCCGCGACCTCAGGAGCCGCAGCCCCCTTCTCGGTGTCTCCTGGCCTGTTGAGGTGGCCCCGTCTCCTTGAGCCGAGATGGACTGCGCGGGGCCTTTGCCAAAGACCCGAGTTCTAGTCCGCCGAGCCCCCACTCTCACCTGTGACCCGGCATCTGCTGATGGAACCTGCCAGACGCAGCCCAGAGCGCAGCCGGGCGGGGCGGGGGTGGGGTGGGGGAGGGTTGGGCAGAACTTCTTCCAGGACTCCCATAATGGCTCTGGATGAGGGGTTAGAGGCCAGACTTTTGATGGTGGGTGTTTAGGGTCTCCTGACCCCCTCCGAGGGCTTCCTGGACGCACCCCTCCTAGAGCGATATCTCACACCCAGCCATCACCGTCTGGAAACCAAGGAGGCTTCAGAAAGGGCTTGCGTCTGGGCCCTGCCACTAGCTCTGTGATCCTCCTTACGGATCTCTGGGCCTCAACTTCCACCTGTAGAACGGAGCCAACCTCCACCCTTGTGTCCGCAGGCGCGCACTCGGGGTCGGTGCCAGGATTTAAGAAGTAGGGAAGCGCTAGCGCGCAGAGGGTCCCAGTACACAGACAGCTATTTTTCTTGCCGGCTTCCTCAGTCTCCTTGCGGGCAGGGACAGTCTTGCCTTTGAGCTCTGCTCCCCCACCCCCACCCCGCGAGTAGATGTAACTCAGGCAGTGGGAGGGCCTCTTCCTTAGTTCAACTAGAAAGTTCTTCCTAGGTCTGCCCCAAGTCCTCTCCTTCCTTCCCAGGCAGCGGGGGTGCGGGCAGTTCCCTTTAAGGAAGGTGGGGGAGGGGGGCTGCCAGCCGGTCCTCCTTCCGCCCCTCCCTGGCCCCCGCAGCCCCGGGGCCCAGTGCCCGGGCCCCGCGCCAGCGCATGCGCCCGCCTGTGGGCGCTGTCCGGGCTGCGAAGGCGGGCGAGCGCACCGACAGACGGACGGACCGACGGACCGGCGGCCGGTCGGACAGACTGGGCAGCGCAGGGAGCGGGGACGCGGCGGGACAGCGACATGGCCGGCCACACGCAGCAGCCGAGTGGGCGCGGGAACCCCCGCCCTGCACCCTCGCCTTCCCCCGGCCCCGGCGCCTCGGAGCGGGTGGCGCTCAAGAAGGAGATCGGGCTGGTGAGCGCCTGCACCATCATCATCGGTGAGAGGGGCTGCGGCGGGCAGGTGCCTGGGGTGGCAGGGCCAAAGGCTTGGGGTGCACTGCTGCCCAAAACAAGGGGCACCCCGCTGCGGGCGCTCCTACCATCTGCAACTGTGGGACACGTGAGGGGATGCCCAGAGCACCTGCGGGTGTCTCCCCTCACACAGGGGCAGTAGGGCTTCTTGTTCCCACCTCCCCAGGCGCCCCGAAGTTCTGCACCTGAGGCAGGTGCCCATCCCATCCACCGCTGGAATCCCCCTGGCTGCCTTTACTTTGCTGCGGGTTTCAGCAAGGCAAATTGCGCTCAGTTTTCTCATCTGTGAAAGGGAGGTCCCTATCATCCTGCCTGGAGTGCAGGAGCCCTGTAAGTATGGGGACTGGGTAGGCTGACCCAGCTTAAGGCTCCAAGTTCTGGGCTGTGGCTCCAGTCTCTACTATGTGTATAGGATCCAGGAGCCATGCAGTGTGGGTGATTTATTCTTCCAAAGCAGGAGACCCTGTGGGGACACTGGACAGGTAGAGCCAGCCCAGAGGGGGAAATAGGTTCAGAGTATATAATTATTGCAGAGTTTGGTGGCAGGACCCTGGGAGAGGGTGGACCAGTCAGTGACTGGGGAGGCTGGCCATGGGGTGGGCAGGCCAAGCCTGCAGAAAAGCCACCTGCTTCCTGGGCTAGGATCCCAACAGACACTCACATCCTCCGGCCCCATCTTCCCCACCTGAGAATGGATCCATGTGTCTTGCCCCCGTACGGGGACTTCCGGGTCAGCAGAGGGCTCAGGGGACAAGGCCCAAGTCATGAATGCTGACTCCTCAGGAACTAGGTCATCTGTGGACCTGTGTCCACACCAAGTGCTCAGAGAGCCTCCTGGGAGTGGTCTGTTCCATCCCCTGTGTCCCAGGAGACACAGACTGGGCAGATGAATGCCAGGGGTCTGGACTGCTTTATTCTACTGCCTGCCAGGTCTTCCCCTCCCCAGCCAGTAGGATCTCCTTGTGCACCCACGGCCCACCCATCCTCAGACCCCTGGTGATGGAGAAAGTTGGAGGCTCAGGAGGGCAGACTGGAGTCTTCACCTCCTCCTCCTCTGCCCCCACACTGGGAGCTCCTGAACTGGGGCTAGGATCTGGCTCTTGGCCATCCCCACCCTCACACTGAAAGTTGCCCCAGAACACAAACCCTGTGCAGGTAGCTCCCCCGTCTCACCCACTTGCCCCTGGAATGGAGTCTTCCAGGAGCAGCTCCTGTGACCTTCTTGGCCTAGGACATCCCTGCTCCACTATCTGCTGGGAGGAAGGGCTGGGTCCAGGGATTTGGCCAGGATACCGGTTAGAGTCTTGCCCTGGCCCACACCCTCTCCAGGATCTGTTTCCCGAGGAAGGAGAAGCCCACACATGATGGATGGACCATGAAGTCAAGAGGCTGGCCGTGTCTGGAGCCAGCTACGGAGACCGCTAGGTGCAGGGAGAGACACAGTTCTTCCTGGGCTGCCTTGGCTAAGTGGCCATCATTGCGCTGTACTCCTACTTTGCCTCCTCCCCTATCCCATCTACTTCAAGTCAGGTGGAGGCTGCTGGCTCCTCTCTCCTTGGAAAGAGAGCCCCAGTGGTGGCGGTGGGCATGGAGGAGGCTAGCTCCACCATCACGTGAGGTCTGCAGGACAGACTCTGTAAGAATAGTCCCGTGCATCCCAGCTCGGTCCTTGCCGCACCCCCACTCTTCAGCCCTTTCCTGCTCTTCCAGGTCCACCGCACACTTGGCCTCCAGACCTTGAAGGCTGAGCAGGGATAAGAGGTAACTTGGCCGAGGGTGGCAGACTCAGGAAGGGAACCCAGAAGACCTGACCCCAGCACGGGACACTCAGTGGTGGTCCAACGACCCTGCTTAGGGAGTTTTGAAGGATTCCAGCAGGCAAGAGACAGACAAGGGGAGAATGGATGTGGCCCAGACGGGACAGGAGATGCGGGAGGAAGCCTCTGTGGGTTGAGTCAGGGTCTGCACTGCCCTTCCCACCTGACGCCCTGGAGGCCCCGCCCCCTCCCGACGTGCTGTTCGGCGGAGTCCAGCTCCCACATCTTACCCCAACTTCCTGCCCCAGGGAAACCAAAGTAAAAAAATGTCTCCAGAGTGTCATGTTTTAAGTTTAAAAGCCTTGAGGACTTTATATTCGACTCCACCATCTTTCTTGTTTGTTAGGAGCTCCTGCGCTTGCTATCTCCAAAACTTCAAATAGCCCCTCCCAGAAGATCCTATAATTCTCTTTCCTTGTAACCTCTGCCTCGTCCCAGGCCGAGGAGTGGGGCTTTCCAGAATGGAACGATATGGAAGGGCTTTGGGCTGGAGGAAGACTCCACCAGAAGTGTGTTTAGGATAGCACCTGCTGGCCGCAGCTGGCACACCTGGAGTGGAACAGCCCGGCCTGGGGGGGAAAGGAGCCAGCTGGGCAGGAGTTCTTAAGACACCACTGCATCTAATACCTCTTCTGAAAAACACCTCTTGTTGCATTATGAAATCATGCTCTCCCTTTATCTCATTTGGTTCTCCTGCCCACCTGGCAAGATGAGAGTGTTTACACCCATTCTACAGACATAAAAAACTGAGGTTGGAAGTTAAATGACACTTCTGCAAGCGGTAGACTTGGGATTTGGAACTCTATTTGGACCCAATCTTCCAATTCAGTGCCCTCCCTCATACTGTTCTGGTGCTGGGCAAACTTGGGGCCAGATTCAGAGCCCTCGATGGGGGAAGGTTGGGATTGACCAAGCTCCCCACTCGACCATGGATGCATGAACAAACAAAGGGACAAAGGAATCTCCCCTGACTCCCCAACCCCACCCAGGGCTGTATGTACAGAATCTCTCTTCCTGACTCAGGGCCCCCCGCTAGCTCCCTCTCCCAATCCACACCCAAGGAATGGGTGTGCCCAGCAGAGTGAGAATCACCCTGGATCTGCTGACCAGGCTGTCCTGTCCTCCACTCTCTCCCCTCGACTCGAGTACCCCACCTATGCTGGTGTTCGTGTGTCAGGCTCAAGTATGTTCAGGGACTCAGAGGTCTGCTTCATGAACCCCATCTCCTTAGGAGCCAATCCCTGCTCATCCAAGGATGGGCAGGCCCTTCTCTGTTGTCTCCAGAGCCAGAGGTAGCTGGGCTGCTCAGAGGATGGCTCTGTCCACAAGCTCGGCCCCTCCTCATAGGGACCCTGAGGAGACATAAAACCAGAAACACCTTATCTGTGTCTCAGAGCCCTGATCTACAGACGGGGAAACAGACTGAGGCTGCGCCAGCCCAGAGGCAGATGTCCTCGGTGATGGGGGCCGAGGCCGCTCTGGCTCCAAGGGTGGGGGCCCACCAGCACCGGACACACTCATTCATCGATTCAACAATTCGGTGCAGAACCGTGCCAGGCACTGTTCTAGGTGCTTGAGACACAGCAGGGAAGAGGACTGACAAAAGCCCTGTCCCCTTGGACCTGATGTCCCAGCGTGGGAGTCAAAGAGCAAATGATAAACCTCCCTGCGATGAGGGACAGGACAGATGGTATGGGCTAGGGTATGGGACGGCATGGGATGGGGCTCGCTATGGAGAAGAAGCTGTGGGCAGCAAGGGTAGAAGCAGGAAGCCTGGTCCAGACGGTACTTGAGTCACTTGCGTAAGAGACAGTGATGGCTCAGCGCAGGGTGGTGATGGTGAGGTGCTGAGGGGAGGTTCAGTTCTGGATGTGTTTGGAAGGTGGAGCCAAAGGATTTGTGATGAACTGGGTGTGAGGTGTGGGAGAAAGAGAAGAGTCAGGGGTGACCCCAGGTTTGGGCCTGAGCCCCTGGGAGCCCGGTTTGCTGTTTATTGATCCAGAAAGACTGAGAGGAGTAGGTCTGGGGGGCAAGGGGATGAAAGTCAGGGATCTCATTTTGAACATGGGAAATCTGAGATGCGTATTTGTTGAGTAATTAGTTGGATATCCAGGTTTAGCTTAGGGAAAAGGTCCATGCTAGGCATATAAATTTGGGAGTTGCCAACAGAAGCTGGGGGACTGGATGAGGTCTCCAAGGGAGGCAGTGTAGAAGGAGGCAGAGGCCGCAGGACTGCGCCATGGGCACTCAACATCTGGAAGTCAGGAAAGAGAAGGACCAGCAGAGGCATCCAGAAGGAGAAGCCAGCAAGGTGGGAGGAGGGCCAGGAGGCTGAGTGTGGAGGAAGGGCTTAACCTGCCAAATGCCATTGATGAGGCGGGCAAGATGCAGTCTAGGGGTGGATGGTTGGATCCAGTGGAGTGGAGCTCATCGATGACCTTGACTCAGCCCGGAGGCTGGGCACAGGCGAAGTTTGCTAGGTGGGCCGGGCTGGGCTGAGCCAGGCAGAGAGAGCTCCACACTTGTGCTCATCCCTCCCTTGAAAGGAAAGTGGGTTAGGCCGGAGGTGCCCCCGGGCCAATTGGCAATTCCAGACATGTCCTGGAGGCATCCCCACTCACCTCCCTGGAGTTCTGCCAACAACCTCAAAGGGCACTTCTGTCTCCTCGAAGGGGTGCCCGACACATTCTCATTAAGGACACTCGTGTGTTTGGAGGCATGGGCTTCACCCCAGGGGACAGCAGGGCCCCCAAAGCAGAGCTCTGGCCGCTGACCCCTTCACCCCTGGGGGTCAGGTCTCCCAAGGCCACATTGGGTGGCCTGGGGTATCTCCAAGGTAGATGACAATAGTGAGATTCGTAAGCACTTCCTGGAGCCTCTGATGTACCGGGCAGGGTGGGAGCACACCCGCGTCACTGCCTCATCTCCCCACTTCACAGATAGGTGAAGTATCTGGTCCACAGCACCCCGCCCCTGCCCCCACCATGAGGCATCTGGGATTCGAACCCAGATCTGGGGATTCTCAACTAGCCCCGCTGTCTGTGGCCTCAGGGACCGACTGATGGGAATTTGGAGCTCTTTCCCAGAGGCCTCATGGGTCACATCCTAATAGGGAGGTGCTGGGACTCATTGCCCAGAGCAGAGGAAGGAGGCCTGGCCGATGGCCAGCCCCTGATCAGACCCAGGAGTCCCAGAGCTGTTCTGTCTCAGGCCAGCAGGCCAGTGTGACAGGAAGAACCCCCATTGTGGGCCTGCTAGCTAAATGAGGCACAGATAGGCAAGGGCGTATGTAGAGGACTTAGGCCCTGTGGGTTCTCTGTCCTCTGGGGGACTCAGGCTCCTCATCACAGCAGGCCAGGGCGCAGACCCGGCCCTCTGTGAATGCAGGACCCATGCAGGGTGGCAAATAAAGAATCCCTTCCTCACCATCCTCTAGGTACCATGGGAGTGGGCCAAGGTCGGAGGTCAGGGAGGGCTTCCTGGAGGTGATGCAGCTTCTGGGAACCTGGTGAGCTGAGGAGAGACCTGCCACCGTGGGGGCCAGGGGCCCGTGAGCAGACTGTGTTTCCTTAGACCCTGTGCAGAGACGCAGAATGTGTCCGCCCTGCCCAGCAGGGCCTCTGCCGAAGTCAGGGTTGAACCAGCCCTCTGCTGCCCCCTAGCACAGTGGCCCTACCTTGCAAAAGGGGAAACTGAGGCCCAGAAGGGCAGCGCTGGCCTGAGGTCACACAGCTGACTCCCCAAAGTGTTTCTAGCGAGGAGGGGTGGTGCCAGCAGCCTGGCCTGACAGGACCTCCCTGCCCACCGCCCCCCAAAATCAGACTGCACTTTCCCCCACACGCACCGAGGGCAACTGGTTCCTTCCACCAACGTGACCTCCACTGTCCACCCTTGGGACCTCCCTGGTCAGCCACTGCCTCCCAGAAATAGGTCAGGGCACACCGCAACAACCAGGAGAACAATGGCCCTTTCTTCGTCCCTCTGCGGAGCCGAGTAAGCCCCATCAGCCCAAACATCTTAATGTGATAAAGAACCACCCAGTGTGCACGGAGGGCAGAGGGGCGGGAGGAGACCGAAGTGGGGCCTCCTGGTGGGGGGCTCACCTCCTCACCCACCTGTGCGGTAGCTCTGGCCCTGCCGCCAAGGACCCGCAAGGACCACAGAGCCTCCCGGCCACGGGGTGGATGGGACTGCGGAGGCCTTGGAACCTGCATTTCCCCCAGCCTGCTGTTGTCAGACACCTGACCGGGCGCTCAGTGGTATCTCCCAGCCCATCCCTGTTCCCTAGTTCCTGCCCTTCCCCCTCTTCCTCCAGAGCAGGTCCCCCCAAGGGCTGGGCTTGTCCACTGCTCTGTCCTGAATCCAGCAGGGCTGATTCTGCTGGACCTGAACACGAGGGCTGAGAAGGGGGGCCTGAGCCCACCACCACCAGGAGGGCTGGGCAGGCACACCCACCCCCGCCCGCCGTACCCCTTACAGCTCCGTGGTCCCTCCTCCAGACCTCCTGTAATCATTCAGACACCGGAGGCCCCCACCCCCGGCCCCAGCAACTCCCCCCGCCCCCCGTCCTCTGCCACTCACCCTAGGCCCTGGCCCCTGTGGCTCCTTGCAGAGCCCCACCCAGCCCACACAGTCCCCAGAGCAGCCAGTGGACCTCAGTGGGGTTTTCTGCCACCTTCCGGCACAAACCTGGGGCAGATGCTAGAGGTCGTCCAGGTCCAGAAGGAGAGGCCCTTTCAGCGGCGTTGGGAGAAAGAAGCCCTGCACTGTAGGCTGAGGCCATGTGTCCACATAACCATGATCCCCTGGCCCCTCCCCCGGTGCCAGCATCGGAGTCTCCAGCCCCTGGGCACAGGCTAGTGACACGTCCCTTTCAGACCCCAACCTGGGAGGACAAGAGGCTAGGTGGCTTCCCCAAGGGCTATGCCCATGAGGCCCCACCATGCTGAACCGCATAGAGTGCCGGGGTCCCCATGGGCTGGGTTGCTCGGGTCCCTGGATAACCCCAGCCTGAAGGCACCCAGCTCATTCCAAGGCCACCCAGCCCCCGCTGGCTTCCAACCTCACTGGCTTTTGGCAAATCCCACTCCACCAAGCCCTGAGAACAGAGGCTACACTGCCGGATAGAGCGAACTCAAAGACCCTTTAGAAAGCCGAGCCAGGCCCCAGGCCCCCAGGGTAGATAAGGGAGGTGGCCCCTCTCCCCCCTGTAAGCAGGCTGAGGGCTCAGCTTACCTCTGGGTGCTGGGGGACAGGAATTCTTTCGTCCTTATCTGGATGTATTTAGGGCTCCTGGGATGTGACTGGAAAACCAAGTGGGGCACCGTGGCCGTCCAGACTGGAAATCTGTGTCGGCCGGGGGCGGGGTGGGGGCTAGCACCGTGGACAAGGAATGCATGCAGATTGGCAGCCACAGCTGTGTCCTTGGCCAGACCGGCCTGTGGGCCTGGCAGGTGGAGCAGGCAGGCTCTGCCTCTATGGGTGTGCACTCTCCCGCAGGACCTGGCTGGTAGGGTCATCCTGTTGAGGGACTGAGCGCCAGCTCCTAGCGGTGTTGCTTTTTTTATTCATGGGGCCTGTGCATTCTGGGATTTTTCCTCATGGTCAGGTCCTTTTTTTTACCACCAATGATGCGACCTAATTTGTGTGCACAGATGGTGAGGCCCAGGTCACCCAGAACATTGCCCTTTTTGCCCTAACTGCCAGGGAGCTCACAGCTCAGTGGGCACTCAGAGTCTTGCTCACCCTGAGAACTTACTCTGCAGACCACAGCTTGGACCTCTGAGCATTCGGGTTGAGCACCCCCAGACACTGTGAGTCAACCGAGCACCCCCAACACATGCCACACTCCACGAGACTCCGAGTCAGCCCAAGGACAGGGCAGGTCTTTGGTGACCATGGCAGACTCCCTTCACATCTGAGCCTCAGAGGCTGACCACCTTCCTCCTCCTCCTTGCAGGGCCTTTCCAGGAGAGTGGACTAGAGATGGGTGCCCCCACTTCACAGATGAGGAGATCAGTCTTTCGTGTCAGGACATCGGTGCCGCTTTGTACATCAGGCCATTCATGCACCCACTTAGTTTACTCGACAGATGTGTATTGAGCACCTACTATGTGCTGGGGGATGGAGGTGAGGGAGGGCAGGTACGGCTGCAGACGTACACAGAATCACACAAAGATGCCAAGTATATCTGGATACAGCTGTAATGAGTGGAGGGCTTCCTCTATGGTATCTTGCTGAAGCCTCGCAAAAACCTCTTGTACAGGCAGATCTTGAGAAGTGACCTGAGCCCCAGCTGGGGTTTCCCACTGTGGTCCTGGCATCCACCGGGCTGTCTCAAGGAGAGAGGCAGTCTTCTCCAGACTCGGGGCTGGCCAAGTCTCTGCCAGCCTGCCATTGCCTACCCCATTCCTTCCGTGATGCCTGCTGACCTACCCCCAGCCCTGAAAATGCACCGGTTCCTCTCCCTCACCCCACCGGCCCTTGGCCAGGACCTGAAATATTTCAGCGGTGCCAGGAAACAAGGTGCCTTCAGAGGCTGTGTCTGCAGTCTGGGTTCTAGGTCAGGGAGGAGCCCAGGAAGCAGGTTCCTGAGCAGCTGAGTGCCCTCCCGCCCGGTGGCAAAAAGCAGGGCGCAGGGGAACTGAGAACAGGACTCCTCTCCTGAATTGGGTGGGCAAGGTGTGACTTCCCATGCCAGGGGAATGGGGAGATAATGAGTCCAGAGTGGGATTTGCAGGGTCTGAGGTCCCTAGTGGCATCCACCTGCCTGCAGGCCCAACTCCCCTCGCCACCTCCTCCAGGGAACAGCCCGGGTTCCCTTCCTCGCTGTAGCATCTGGGAGCCTGAGGAGAAGGCTGGGCTGCCTAAGGGGGCCCCAGACCTGATGCCTCCCCATCTCTCCCCACCCCAGGAAACATCATCGGCTCGGGCATCTTCATCTCCCCCAAGGGGGTCCTGGAGCACTCGGGCTCTGTGGGTCTGGCCCTCTTCGTCTGGGTCCTGGGTGGAGGTGTCACTGCCCTGGGCTCCCTCTGCTACGCGGAGCTGGGAGTCGCCATCCCCAAGTCTGGCGGGGACTACGCCTATGTCACCGAGATCTTCGGGGGCCTGGCTGGGTGAGTGTGGGGCACCAGCAGGGTCGGTAGGGGAGGGGACGACAATCTGGAATGGAGGGTCACTTGGGCCCTGGACTTCAATTCCTTCTTTTTCTCACATCTCAGGGGGGTCATGAGGTGGATGGAAGAAAGGGTGGAGGTGTTTGGTAGCCTTCCAAGGCCAGGGTGGGCAGGACACTCCAGCTGGCCCCTTGACCTCTCTGTGCTTCCTTCTAAATGTTTCTTTAAGCCTACTCCCCACCTGGGTGATGTTCGCAACAAGGCAAGGGCAGCCTTGATTAGTAAACCCACGTGTGTAGGGGGGGAAGGTGCATAGAATTCCTACCAGCGCCCTGCAAGAGTGCCCCTTTACATAGCCCCTTGGCATAGTTTTATTCACCAGTAAACATTAGCTGAGCACCTACCATGTGTTGAGGACCAGGGGTAAAAAGATCCATCAATAACAAGAGATTCCAAATAAACAATGAGAGATGTTAAAAAAAAAAAAAAGATCCATCAATGTCCTCAAATTGTCCACAGTGCAGAAGGGAAAAAAAAAAAAAAACTTGATATAGACCTAGACGATCCTTGCTTTGAGGGTGTGCGTGAGAGGCAATGGCCAAGAGAATGGGGTGCCACCACCTAGGGAAAGCTTCCAGAAAAAACCACGCTTGCACCAAGGCTCGGAGGGCGAGCCCGATCTATCTGGTGTGGGCAGAGGCAGGTCACATCCCTGGTAGGTGCCAAGGTTTGGAGGCGCTGGGGCTGCCTGGGGGCACGATGGGGGCCCAGAGCTATTGCAATTATCCAGCTGAGCCATGCTGAGGGCCTGAATAAAGGTATAGGAAGATCCCAGAATCATCCAGAGGACATGGTATCCAGTGTGGAATGAGGGAGAGGAGATGACAGCCACTTTCCCATTGGATAGACTCCATGGATGGCAGTTTCGGGGAGGGGAGGTTTTGGGGTAGGGTTGCCATGCTGGTGGGGTCTGTGGCATATCCGGGGAGATGGTCTAGTCCGGTCTGGGCGGGAGGGTGTCTGGAGCTCAGAGGAAAAGTCTAGGCCAAAGTATACAAAATTTGGTTCCGAGGGATGTGGCGCAGGGTCTTTAACGGGGTAGCGGTGGATGGGGCCCTGCAGATGTGTCCCTGGATGCTCTGCTCTGGGGAGAGCGTCCTCAAAGGGGCCTGGGACCTGAGAAAGCAGAAAAATCGTGCTGTATGGTTAAGATAATACTCGAGAAGGAAGCGAGAGGGAGGGGAGGGCCCGAGGCCTGACCCCAGGCGTGCCTAACTTCTAGGGTTGGCAGAAGGGAGCAAGGGTTAGGCCTCTGAGTAAAGGAGAGGACCAAGAGGAATCTACCAACCATGGTAGTCCAGAGGTCATTGGTGTCCCTGGATGCAGCTGTCCCCACCCTCAAAGTCTAGGAGCTCCCTGGGTGCAGGGAGAACCCTTGGGAAGAGGTTGGGCCTCACAACCTTGAGCAGAGCCCCTACTCCCATGGGGGCACCCCGCAGTGGCAATACTCGGGCAGACGGGACATAAATGGCTCCCTAACCCCAGCCAGGGCTCCTTGCACGCAAGGTCCTGTCCCTCAGGGGTCACAGCTCAGAGCCAGCTCCCTGCAGCCATGCTCTGCTGAGAACTCCAGCTGGAGCCATAACCGAAGGTCCCGGGAGAGCCTGCCCCAGCTCAGGAAAAAGCCCGTGGCCAGAGCTAGATGGCTATTAGAAAGGTGGCTGATTCTCCAGTCCTTTTCAACACCTGCCCAAGGGCAGCCTGGAGCTGTTTAACCGTGCGGAATGCCATCTCTGTTGCAAAAGTCCATTACTAGAGCAGAGACCCCAACAGCACTGGCCCTGCCTTCTGGCGCGTTGGCAGGGCGCGGGATGCCCCCCTGTGCCAGTCGGACCCTCCCTCATTCCAGCTTCCTGCTGCTCTGGAGTGCGGTCCTCATCATGTACCCAACCAGCCTGGCTGTCATCTCCATGACCTTCTCGAACTACGTGCTGCAGCCCGTGTTCCCCAACTGCATCCCCCCAGCCACCGCCTCCCGCGCACTCTCCATGGCCTGCCTGAGTGAGTGCCCACCCTGGGCCCACACCCAGCTCGCTGCCCCCGGGTGGGAGGACTGTGTGGGTCGGGGCAGGGGGGGTTCCCCTCCAGCCACCAGCCCCTTGGGAGCTCAGCCTCAGGGGGTGGGCTGCTTGCACTCCAGCTGCTGGGGGGGATGCCGCCCTCCTGCAGCCTGGGCCAGACTTGGCCGTGGCCCACCCGCCCTCTCTCCTTTCCTCCCCAGTGCTCCTGACATGGGTGAACAGCTCCAGCGTGCGCTGGGCCACGTGCATCCAGGACATCTTCACCGGCGGGAAGCTACTGGCCCTGTCCCTCATCATTGGCGTGGGCTTCGTCCAGATCTTCCAAGGTAGGGCCGGGGTGGGGCCATGCACAGGGCCTCGGTGACAACTCTGACCCTTGACCTCTGGACCCCCAGGACACTTCGAGGAGCTGAGGCCCAGCAATGCCTTTGACTTCTGGATGACACCCTCCGTGGGTCACCTGGCCCTGGCCTTCCTCCAGGGCTCCTTTGCCTTCAGCGGCTGGAACTTCCTCAACTATGTCACTGAGGAGCTGGTCGACCCTCGAAAGTGAGTGGGATGCCCGGCCAGGCCCTGGGAAGGGGAGGGATGCAGTGGTGGGAGAGGCAGCCTCCTTGCACAGACCCCCTGCCTCCTGGGGCTCAGTCCGGTCATCCGCCTGATGGCACTGCTGCTGGGACACCTGTACTCCAAACTGGCCCGGCACTGCGTGGCTGTGGGTGGGTCGCGGCCCCTCGCTGGGCCTCAGAAACACTGAGCATCATTGTCCCCCTGTCAATGGATCCAGCTGTTTGCCTTTGGCCAAAATGGATACATGTGCTCACAACGTGGTCCATACGGATGAAGCCAATAGCTCCGTCTGGAGCTCAGCCAGGGGTCACAGCAGTGAACAGTTGGCAACTGGGGCTGGGGCTGATAGGGCACCCCAGGGGCACCCCAGGTCAATGCACTGGGCCCAAGGGGCACTTCTCAAGGATTTTCGAGGATTTTCAAGGCTGAGTTTGGCTGTACGCACTTTTCTCTTCAGCGCCGCCATTAGACCTGCTCCTCCGGGTTTGATGTAGCCTAGGCAGGGGCTGGGGGGCAGCAGGGGGACAGCAGTGCTGCTTCTTTGCCTGTCCCAAGGCCCCCAGCGGACCCAGACCCGGGAGATAGAGACTCAGATTGCTCCCTTGCTGGGTCCCCCGGGCCCTGCCCCCCTGCTGACACACTCCACCGCCGCCCCCAGGAACCTACCTCGTGCCATTGTCATCTCCATCCCGCTGGTGACCTTTGTGTACACCTTCACCAACATCGCCTACTTCACTGCCATGTCCCCCCGGGAGCTGCTGGCCTCTAACGCGGTGGCCGTGGTGAGTGGGGTCCCACTTGTACCTGGCTCCTGCCCGCCCCGCCCTGCCTCACGTGTCACCTCTCTTCTGTGCCCACTCAGACCTTCGGGGAGAAGCTGCTGGGCTACTTTTCTTGGGTCATGCCCGTCTCCGTGGCACTTTCCACTTTTGGAGGGATCAATGGCTACCTGTTCACCTCCTCCAGGTGACTGGACTGGGGAGGGGGTTGGTCAAGGTGAGGCAAGGCAGGTGCGTGTGATCAGTGCCAGGGGCCGGAGGAAGTCAAATCCTGCCCGGTGGGTCCCACCTGAAACTGGAACAATGAACTCCCCAGGAACAGGAGTTGGACCTCAACTCTGAGGTCCAGAAAGCAAAAGGGAGGTGGGGCGAGACAGGGAAGAACTGCCCTGTGGGGCTGCCGGGGCCCGGAGCAGTGGTCAGAGGTGACAGCTCAAGAGGGACATCATGTCTGGAGCTGAGGTCCAGGATCTGGTCGGTAGGAGGCCCGCGGCCAGGCTCATGGCCCCCACCCATCTCTGTCCCAGACTGTGCTTCTCTGGGGCCCGAGAGGGGCACCTGCCCAGCCTGCTGGCCATGATCCATGTCAGACGCTGCACCCCGATCCCCGCCCTGCTTGTCTGTGTAAGTTGTGGGGCCAAGGCCGGCAGGGAGGGGAGCCGGGGCCACCCAGCAACGTGGGGAATGGTGGGGATTTGTCCTGGCCCTAGGGGGGCAGCCCACAGAGGGAGCAGGGAGGGCCAGGGCTCATCGACCTCCTGGCCTGAGCTGGCAGGCCCAGGGCTGATGGAGGCAGGTGGGAGGCCACCCTCAGCCCAGTCCTCTCCCAGTGCGGGGCCACAGCGGTCATCATGCTTGTGGGAGACACGTACACGCTCATCAACTACGTGTCCTTCATCAACTACCTCTGCTACGGCGTCACCATCCTGGGCCTGCTCGTGCTGCGCTGGAGGCGGCCGGCGCTCCACAGGCCCATCAAGGTGAGGCCTGGGAGTGGATGGGCTGGCCCACGCTATCGAGCCACCCCTTCGGTCATTTGGGCACCAGGGGCAGGTGATGACAGCGACCGGGATTCTAGTTTTGGCCACGTGCTGGGCCCTGCTCGGGGCTATATGTGCACTGACGGATTCGGCCCTCACAACAACCCCACGAGGTGTGACTACTCCCAGTTTACAAACAGGAAAGTGAGGCTCAGGTGCTTGCTCCTGGTCACACGGAATTCCAGGAGCGCGCACAAGGACACAAGAGCTTAACCCAAGCTAAATGCAAATATTCTGTGTGCATATAAATCCTGAACCTGGAGAAGTGCTCAGTGCCTTAAAAAGTGAAATACCAAAAAAGAGAGAAACCTCCAACCGAATGCAAACATCCAGTGACACAAGGCTGTGTGCAGCTCAGAGCCACTGAAACTTTTACAAATCCTCAACCCTTTGGCACACCGGCCATCCCCTGAGTTGGCTTCCAGCATGTTGGGCGGCTGCCAGAGGGGGGGCCCTCACGCCTCAGCTCCCAGGAGCGGGTGGGCAGCACCTCAGACCCCCCGGGGTGGGGGTGCCATTGGCACTCCCGCTGGCTCTCCCCCAGGTGAACCTCCTGGTTCCTGTGGCGTACTTGGTTTTCTGGGCATTCCTGCTGGTCTTCAGCTTCATCTCGGAGCCCATGGTGTGTGGGGTCGGCGTGATCATCATCCTCACAGGGGTGCCTGTTTTCTTCCTGGGGGTGTTCTGGAGAAGCAAACCAAAGTGTGTGCACAGACTCACAGGTGAGCTGGGGAGCCTCCCCACGGCAGCAGGCCTGAGAATGCAACCCTTTTAGGGGCTCGCCCTGGAGCAGGGCCTCCCCTTAGCGACGGTGGAAACAGGGTCCGGCCACCACCTGAAGTGTCCCCAGTAGGTGGCCCCAGTGTCCAGGATCCACCACCTGAAGGGAGCAGCTCCCTGAGGACCCCTGCCCCACAGGGTCAGACCCAGGGTCTATCTGTTTGTCCGTCTGTCCTCAGAGTCCATGACACGCTGGGGCCAGGAGCTGTGTTTCGTGGTCTACCCCCAGGGTGCCCCTGAGGAGGAGGAGAATGGCCCCTGCCCGCTGCCTGCCACGGACAAGCCCTTGAAAACACAGTGAGATATTCGTGGAGGCTGAAGCAGCTGTTTCTGTTTACATGTTGTTTATTGAGGAGGTGTTTTTGCAAAATAAGTTTTAGGTTTTTTTGTTTTGTTTTGTCCTGGGAAAAAAAAGAGATCTGACTCTTGGAGGCCTTGACCAAGGGAGCCCTGCAGATGTGGCCTGGGCTCCCCGGTCAGCACTGCCCCACTGGCTTTTCCTGAAAAGGTCTATGAATAAAACAGGGCTGGTGGGTGGTGTGCTTGTCTCAGGTGAGTCCCTGGAGGGCATCGCTCGGCGGGGCTCGCGTGGTGCTGGCTGCGGAAGGTGCCCCCGCAGGATCTGGAGGAGGCCTTTGGCGTTTGGGGGCTCTGCCTCTTGAGCCGGGCGCTCCGTCTCTCCCTCGTGGGGTCCAGAGCCAGCCCTGCCCCAAAGGGACACTGGGATCGGGAGACACCTCTCCGGGACCCACAATGCCAGCCCAAGGCTCAGCCACACAGGAGGGCCCAGGCATTTCTGTAGGAACTGCCTTTTTTTTCCCATAAATCTCCATGGAGTGAGTATCCGGACTTGGGAGCCCGTGGCCTCACCCTGGTTTGCAGGGGGAAACTGAGAGCCTGAGACAGGATGGGACGGATTTGGCCACTGTCAGTTGGTGCTCGGCCACTGTCCCCCGAGAAAGCATCCAGCAGCATCTCCCGGGGGGCCTCAGGGCCTGCAAGAGACCTGTGCCCACGTTCCCAGCCCTGCCCTCATGCCCAGGAGATTAACCCCTCAGCCACAGGGCAGAGGGCAAAGGGAGCCTGCCTGGCCAGGCCCACGCTGACACCACAGGCATGAGGATGGGGGTAGAGTCCTCCTTGCCCCTCCTCTGGGCTGGATGGGAGGACCGGAAGAGGGCTAAGCACTGACAGAGGGCCCTCCATGGACTAGGTCCGTCACAGCCGTGGTTCTGTTCGGTCCAGCACAGCTCTGGTGCCCCGGAGGGCAAATGAAGTGAGAAGCCACAGAAAACCCTCCAGAGAGCCCTGCCCTAGCCCTCCTGCTCCCTGGAGATGGATTCCTAGAACGGAGGAGGGGGAGGGAGAGTGAGACCCAGAGTGCCTGCCGCGGGGCTCCTGACTCCACCTGCCTCCTTGCTCCAGCCCCCACGGCCCCCACCCGCCAGGCCCACCAGGGCTAGGGGTGCCGATGCAGCAAGCCGGCGGCTGGGCTTCCGGGCAGCCTCTCTGTAAGAAAGAAGGACGCGGAGGCAGGGTAGAAATGACTGTGTATTCCCTGGTTACAAAGCGGGGCTGTGGCGGTCACCAGCATGTCCGGCGGGTCAGCAGACCAGCAGGGCCTCATCGTCACTGGCCTCCAACGTTGGGGAGCAGGGCGGTGGGGGACTCCTGCAGACACCCAGTGGCTCTGCTGGGTGGGGGCCTAGAGTGCTGCTGGCAGTGGGAGCCTGGGGGTGAGGGTCCTGAGCCGAGCAGGGCTCCCGAGTCATGTCCACGGGGGCCGGGCTGTCCACCCGAGGGTCCCTGCCGGCTTTTCTGTCCTTGTCCACCAGCCTGCCCTCCAGGTCCCGCAGGCCAGAGGGGGGCGGCACGGCAGATCCCACTTCTGGCGCATGGCCTGGGGGGGGCCCATCCCCAGCTGCCACGGGGCTGCCTGTGTCCGTGAGGGGTGCTGGGGGCTCCGGGGTGGTCCCTGATGCAGGCTGGAGAAGCCCGTCGCCTAGCACCGTCTGTGAGGTGCGGGCAGCCGTCAGCAGTGGGATCTGTCCCCGCGGCGCCCGCGGCCGGTGAAAGAGCCGGTTCCAGAGGCGGCCGAGGCGGCGGCGGGAGGGCCCTCGGCGGGAGGCGTGCCGGCGCATCTGTCGCCGCATGGCTGTGCGAAGGTTCTGTAGCACCGAGGCCTGGAGGGCAGGGTGGTGGTGGAGGGGGCAGAGGTCAGCACGACTCCAGGAGACCAACTTGTTCCCCCCAACCTGGCCGTGGCCTCACCACTGCCCCCCCGCCTCCTTGGGCCATGCACTGTCTGACCTGGCCCCTCAGTCTCCCCGTCTGGCCGTCCTCTGAGGTCCAAGTGGGAGCCTGGGTCCCCGGGGTCTCACCCCTCCCCACCCCGGCACTCACCTGGGATGCACTGTAGACGGGGAAGTCCTCCACGGGCGGAATGAGGCCCTGGGCGATGAGCTGCCCATAGGATGGGGGTGCCTCCCGCCGCACAAACTCAGCCTCCAGGCGCGTCATCTGGGTCTCGAAGGCCCTGAAGGCAGCGGGGGTGGGATGGGGTCAGGGTGGGGGGGCAGGAGGGCAGCATGGCCAGGCTGGCCGGGGTCCGCACGCTGCCCGCCTCCCACGGGCGCCACCCCCCCTCCCCCGGCCCCCCAGCCCGAGCTCCCGGGATGCCGGTGAGAGGTCCCGAGCCCCCCCCCGGCCCCCCGCCGCCCGCAGCCCTCCCACCTGTACTCCTGAGTGCGCAATGAGTAGAGCTTGAAGGCGCAGCCCAGGGCGATGACGAGCAGCAGGCCGCACACCAGGCTGCCGATGAGCGCCGCCGTGATGACCTTGCGGGGCACGGCCGCCAGGCAGCCGTGCTCGTCACTGCCGTCCTGGCAGTCCTCCTGGCCGTCACAGCGCCATGTCTCAAAAATGCACAGGTTGGTGCCGCAGTGGAAGGTGCCGGGCTGGCAGGAGAAGCAGTTCTTCTCGTCGGCGCCGTCCGGGCAGCTCTTCTGGTTGTTGCAGCGGTCGGCCGGCGTGTAGCACAGGCCGCTGCCGCCCTCGCAGGGGTACTGGTCCGGCGGGCAGGCGGGGCAGCCCTGCTCGTCGCGGCCACTGGCGCAGTGCCACCAGCCGTCGCAGCGCTGGGGCTCGGAGAAGCAGCCCTGTTCACCCGCAGCGCCCGCGGCGCCCTCGCCGCCGCTCCCGCACGGCTGTTCCCACGGGAGGCAGTAGCCCTTGACCTGATAGGTGGCGTTGAAGCCGTGGCCGGCGCTGCGGGCGCGGGCGTGGTAGGCCACGGTGAGGCGGCCCTGGGCGGCCTCGAGGCTCACGGGCCGGTGGTTGCTGCGGTAGGACAGCGTCTGCAGCAGGCGGTCGCCGCGCTCGCCCAGGCCCTCGTACACCTGCACGTAGTCGTCATAGCCCAGCCGCAGCTCCAGCTGCAGCAGCACGCGCCGCGGGTCCTGCGTGTCCACCAGCCACGTGCAGTGCAGGTCCGAGGGCCCACGCGCCGCGCCGAACAGGTCCGGGGAGGCGAAGGAGCCGTAGAAGCTGCCCAGCCGCCGGCCGCACGCCAGGTCAGGGCAGCCGGCCTCGTCCGAGCCGTCCCCGCAGTCCTGCGAGCCGTCGCAGCGCCGCTCGGCCGGCAGGCAGCGCGTGGAGCGCGCCCCGCTGCAGGGGAAGGTGCCCCCGGGGCACAGGCTGCCCGGCGGCTCGGAGGCGGGCGCCGAGCAGTTGCCCTCGTCCGAGCCGTCGCCGCACTCGTCCACCGTGTTGCACTGCCACGGACCTGGCAGGCACTTGCCATTGTCACAGCGGAACTCATCGGCCTGGCAGGATGCCTGGCCCAGCTTCCCTGTGGGGTGGAGAGTGGGGGGGGGGGACACACGGTCAGGGGAGCCCAGAGCCTCCCTCCGGCAGGTAACCGGGGCCAGGAGCAGGCAGGGTGGCTCCCCTGTCCCAGCCCAGCCTCCCAACCCGAGGGGTGGAGACCCCTCAAATGTCAGGGTGGGCTCGTCCCTGACTTGAGCCAAGGGTGAGGGGTGAGCCGCCCACTCTAGCCAAGTCTGTGAAGTGGGCTCAGTGAGCTCGAGGGGCTTCAAGGCACCCTGAGGCCCAGTGCCCCCCGACAGACGGGGCTGCTAGGGGAGACCCAGCAGGGAGTGGGCCAGGAGAGGCTGCTGCCGGGGCCCTGGGAGCCCGGCGCCCCTGGTGCCCTGCCCCACCCTGCTGCCAGCACCACCTCGGATGTACGACAGACGGAAGCCCTGGGCCTGGCCGGAGCTGGAGGCGTCAGAGTGGAAGAAGATCCAGACGTGGTCCCGGGCCGAGATGAAGGCAGGTGGGATGGCGGAACCGCAGAGCCGGAAGGCCTCTTGGCGGGGCGGGGCCGCTGGGCCCAGCATGAGCCAGTCCAGGGAGCACTGGTGGGACTCCTCCACATCGAAGTTGCGGAAGCTGCAGGGGCCGAGGGGAACGAGGACCGCAGGGGTGGGCAGGCAGGCAGGGAGCCCGCAGACCTGAGCTCAGGGCAAGGGTGGCCAGCCCCATGGGCCCCTGCACTCCTCCACTCCAGGCCTCTGGGTGGGACCCCTACCACCACCCAGGGGCCTGAGGGTGGCTCCATGAGGTGCCAGCACAACTGTGGACAGCGCCATTGCAGCTCTGTGAAGGCCTCACTTGGTCCTTTTCTGCCCTCCGTCGGCACACACAATGCCCACCCCGAAGCCAAAGTGGAGGGGGCGTCAGAAGCCCCATCAGGCGCAATTCCTTCCCCCGACACGCTCCCTTGAAGGGTCCAGATCCCTCCCTCGCTGGGTCTGCTGGGATAGACCCAGCACACCCAGGCCTCTCCAATGAGGGAGTAGATGCACACAGGGCTGGCCTAGCTGCGGCTGGGTGACAGCTTGTCACCTGGAGAGAAACCCCAGTGCCAGCCCCCCCAGCCCAGGCTGTGGGGCAAGCAGGCACAGACACCAGGATGCCCCTGTGCTTTGGAGCCAGGGAGCCAGGGAGTACCTGGGCCTTCCAGGCTTTGGCACCCCGACCCGATACCCCACGGACACCCCAGGCCAGGGTTCCAGACTCAGTTCCACTGTCTCGCCACCTCGGCACGTCCCTGCAGCTGCAGCGCCTGGGCTCCTGCCTAGCTCCATCTCCTGCCCAGACTGGCCCCGAGGCCCCTGGGGAACCCCTGCTCTGGGCTCCATGCCAGCCTGGCCTCAAGCCCCCTGCAGGGCAGAGAAAACACTTCCGCCACCTCAGAGCCCAGTGCCCCCGGCTCCTCTCCCTGGCCGGGCTGAGGGCATCCACGGCCCCCACAGCCCACGAGAGGCTCACATGGCAGAGGTCCAGCAGGAGAGGTGGCCTGCTGCAGGGGTCCACAGACACCCGTGGAGCTGGGCACACTCACATGCTCACACATGTGCACACGCAGACAATCACACCCACCCGTACTAACACACACACCTGCCCTCTGCACCTATCCATGCATGTGTTCATGTGCATGCATGTGCTCACACACACACCCGCCCTCTGCACCTGTCCATGCATGTGTTCATGTGCATGCATGTACTCACACACACACCCGCCCTCTGCACCTGTCCATACGTGTGCTCATGCACACGCAGACTCTCACACACCTGCCCTCTGCACCTGTCCATGCATGTGCTCATGCACATGCAGACTCTCATACACCTGCCCTCTGCACCTGTGCATGCACGTGCTCATGCACACACAGACTCTCACACACCCGCCCTCTGCACCTGTCCATGCATGTGTTCGTGTGCATGCATGTGCTCACACACACACCCGCCCTCTGCATCTGTCCATACATGTGCTCATGCACACACAGACTCTCACACACCCGCCCTCTGCACCTGTCCATGCATGTGTTTGTGTGCATGCATGTGCTCACACACACACCCGCCCTCTGCACCTGTCCATGCATGTGCTCATGCACACGCAGACTCTCACACACATTCGCCCTCTGCACCTGCTCATGCATGCACTCACACACAGGCACCATTACACACGCACACACGCTCTCACACACACACACACTTACTCAGCATGTGCAGGCCCGCGGAGTTCCCTTCTGATGCCCTGGGTCGCCTTACCTGATGGTGATCATGTCCCCGCGGTCACCCTGGATGTACCAGCTGCAGTTGGTGCCTGGAGGGTAGTTGAGGGGCCAGGCCGGGCTGTAGATGACGCCGCGCCGCTCCGTGTGCTGCTCCAGCTTCCCACTGCAGGCGGCTGTCGGAACAAGAGGCTGAGAAGGGCCGGCCTCCCCTCTGGGTGGGAAGTGAGGTGGGGGTGCACTCAAGCCCCCCCGCCGCCGTGGTTTGAGCACGGGCCTTTCCCAGGGTGCGATCAAGGCCAGACAAGGGTGGTCATGGCCAGGGGAAGGCCAAACACAAGACTTCATGTTATGGGGGGGGCAAGGACCCACAAGGGCTCAGGGCAGCCTTGGCCCCCAGCCCTACCCTGTGCACCGGAGCGTAGGTCCTATCCCCCATTCCCCGCAGGGCTGTAATGAGCCCACCAACAGCCCCCTTGGCCCCTCCAACGTGCAGCCTCTTGGCCTCAGCTCAGTGGAGAACTCTGCACCCCTAGGCCTGTCGGGCCTGCATGGGCAATCCACCGTGGTTCCCTGCCTGCCCTCCCTGGGACAAATACAGGCCTTGGCCCCGGGAGGGGAGGGGCTTTGCTCGCCCAGCACAGAGTTACTGAGTACCTACTAAGTGCCAGGCACAAGCACTAGGCATGCTGAGTAAGACAGTCAAAAGCCCCACTCCATGGAGGTTGCAGGGAGAGCAGACATGCTGATCTCTGCGGGGTGGAGGTGGGGGGGTGAAGGTCATAAAACAGGCCTGCAGGGAGGCCGACATCCAGATGGGGCGGGGGGGGCAGGCTGGGTCTGATCACACCTTGTGTGGCACTGGGGTTTCATCCTGAGCATCAGTGGGAAGCCACTGGAGGTAGATGTCATAACCAGACAAGGAAACAGGCTCAGAGAGGGCAGGGGACCTGCCCATGGCCACAGAGCAGTAAGTGACAGAGTCAGGGTCACCCTTAGTCCCCTGGTGGGATCAGCCTCTCACTGCCGGCCTTGAACCAAAGCATTTATGAAATGTTGACCATCTGCTGCCTCAGGGACCAGGGCAGGCTATCATCCCAGCCAGTGCAATAGAGGAATGCCACCAAGCCCAGCCCTGCGGGCCTTGCTTTACCCACTTCATTACTCATGCCGCTGCTTCCAGCTGAGCCGGCCCAGCCTGGACACTCCAGAGCCTGCCCTGGTGTGCCCTGGCCTTCCCGGGACCAGGCAAGGCCTCTGCCCTTGACCACACCTACCCCTTCCAGCCCCTGCAACCCTTCACCACACCACCTTGTCTGATCCTCACAAAAGCCTGTGGCAAAGGCAGGGTCCATTATACAGATGGAGAAACTGAGGCCAGTGACACCACCTCCCCACTCTCATACTACCTGGCCCCTTCCACTGTTGCCCTGCAAGCCAGGGCCTCTCTGTTGGCCTTCAACAAGACTCCAGCCGCCTCCCATGCTCTCAGGACCGTGACCAGGGAGGTCCAGGTGATCCAATATTGTGACTAGCAGGGAAGTGGAAACGCCCCCCGACAGCGCACGAAAGCATCAAAGGACTAGAAGAGGTGACAGCACGCAGGGGGGGAAGGACCAGGGCTCCCTTCCCTGTGACAGGTGAGGCCCCTGGCTTTGTGAGCCTCCCAGAGACCCTGGCTGCTGCCCCGGCGCCCTGGGAGGTGTGAGGTTATGAAAGCCGGAAGAGGCTTCTCCTCCTGGATGGTGCTGGGCAAGAGGTTCACCGGCAGGGAGAATCTGGCGCCGCCGGGGTGCACTTCCCCCTCTATGTCAAACGGTAAACCCGAAGTCAGCAGACTCCGTCAGCCAGGGCAGGAAGCACGCTTTGTTGCCCTGTCCCCTCACCCCCTAGGACAGGGCCAGGGGCAAAGCAGGGCCTGGTCACACCTACCCTGGCCAGGAGGCCAGCCTTCCTCAGGGACAAAACACTCAGAAAGGCCAGGTTCCTCACCCACGAATCCTACCGGCATCTCCTGCCCCAGCCAGAATACGCTTCTAGACCTACGTCTGGGCCTACTTTCCAGGTCTCTCGGACCAGCAGCCAAGTCAGGAGCAGGTGACTAGCAGCTGCCAGTCCAGCTCTGCCGCTCAACAAAGCCCCTGACAATATGTCCCCCCAAAGAGCCTCCCCCCTGAGCGGCCCCCAGGCTGCCCCAGAAATTCCCTCATAGGGGGCAGCAAGAGATCACATTTTCTGCAGCCATCAGCCTGGCCCACGCAGAGTGCACGTGGAGCAGGAGAGAGGGCAGAGTCCGTGCGGGGGCGCTGGGAGCTCGGGTCAGGGTCTCCTGACTGGACACTCGCTTGGTCTTGAGCCTGGAGGCAATCACCAGCTCGGACAACCAGCCCCAGGTGTCTCTGTGATGGCAGCCTAGCTCCCACCCCAGGATCCAGGCACAGGTGGGGGAAAGGCCTCACGAGTCCACTCCCAGGGCTCACACTGCCGGGCACGCCGTTCTGCCCTAGGCCTCACCTTGCCCATCAGTGAAATGGAGTCCGTGGGTGCTGCTTGTCCCGGAGGGTGGCTGGGAAATTCGAGGAAAGTGGCAGTCTCTAGGCAGACATTCACGTGATGGGGGGGAGTGGGGGGTGCCCCATGGAGGTGAGGATCTGACGGGGTGTGTGATGATGAGTGGGCAGTGGAGGGTGATGGGAGGACTGTGTGTTTGCAGGATAGGGTTTGGGAGTGTTTGGGGGCTTTAATTGCAGGTGACCTCTGTTCACGCCGGTGGAAGACTACTCAGCCCTTGGGCCAAGGTGGCCTGCTTAAGAGGGCAAGGGATGACTGAGCACCAGCGAGCTCCTTTCTTTCCTGGTCTAAAGAGTCACGACATAGTCCTGAGGAAGCGTGAGCAAGGCCTGGTGGAGCACAGTTTGCAGATCCGGTTTCCAGAGGCAATCGATACTCTAGACAACCTGCGTGCTGTCACTACACGACAGGCAGCTGGGGGCCCCCGAACCCAGCGCGCGGGGGAGGCTGCCTGGTGAGTGGAAAGCAGCCTGGAGACTCTGTCCGGGCTCACAGCGCTGGCGTCCCCAGCAGCCACACGGCCGAGCCCCGAGTCCGGGGTGCGGGAGGTGGGTCAGTGGACCCAGTCTGTGCCTGCCAACCTGGGGCAGAACCGGGGGCTGGAAGGCAGACACCTGTGATGGGGAGGCAGGCAGTCCAGCCAGGCTCCTGTCTGAGCCGTCACCTCAGGCAGCCTGAAGCTGATGTCCGCTCCTCTGAGCAATGCTAGAGGGATAGAGCTAGACTCCAGGAGAGCTAGGGCCCCCGGCCACCGCCTGTGGCCACACGGGCCAAGCACGCAGCTCAGGCCTCGGGGACGCCACGCTTAGGCACCATGATGTGAATGGCGGCCCCCGAAGAACAACGCAGATGCCGGCTAAGACCTACCAAACGTGCAGACCTGCATGGCTGTCTTTCTCTCCCTGACTCTATGAGTGAACCTTGTCCCCGGAACATCACTTTCTAAACCCAGGGCACAAGCATGTGGCCAACGTGCTGAGGCCACATGGCCACCCCCCACACCAGCAGGAGGGCTCGCCTGGGTCTCACATCTGTAAGACCTGACCCCCCCCTCCCCGGGTCCCCTCCCTCCCACTCTCTACCATGGCCACAGACCCCTGACCCCAGCGGGGCCAGTCAGTGTCCTCCAGGAAATTGGGATGGGGAGACTAGGCAGTTCGCTGCGGGGGCCAGGACACCAGGCGGCGCTGGGGCTGGCTGGGTGCTCAGTGAGTCAGCGCCCCGGGCCGGCTGCATCAGCAGAGAAGGCCAGACTGCGGGGAACAGGAGTCCACGTGAGGGGAAATCAGGAGGGAGCCCAAGGAGCCGCATCTGAGAGATGGGCCTGCGAAAGCAGCTTCGGTGGGCCCTGGGCCTCCCCATCCCAGTGACCGTGGCCCGCAGAGATCCCTCTCCCTGAGCCAGCCTCAGTGGCTTTCGGCTACAAGGTCCTGAGCAGAGTTAGAAATCCCAGGTGCCTCCAACCCACAAGGCAGCACAGCAAGTCACAGGCCCCCCCCACACCGGAGACCACACATTGTCCCCAGCTCCCTAAGGCCCTTCTCAGATGTCTCCCGGTGGCCCCAAGGGCCATGAGGCCTGGGGCTTCCCCATGGCAGTCCCCTCAGCAAAGAGCAAACACCCTCGATGGCCTTGGTCGCCCCTCCCGCTCCTGACAGCCTTCGAGGTGCCTGGCACGGGGCCCGAACACAAAGATGGCCTGTGGATGGTTGGACCCACTGTGACAGGCAGGAGAAAGGGGTGGAGTTTAGCCGTGTTTCTTAGATCCCATAGGCCACCACTAATCTCAGAGCCAAAACATCAGGCAACGTGGGAATCTCTCTCCGTCACACCAGCTTGCCTGGGACTGCTCTTGCTCAGAGAGACCAGCTGAACCCAGGCTGAGCCACCTTCTTTTCTCATTCGCATACCAAGCCGGTGCTTCCCCTGCCCTAGGTCATCCCAGGGCCAGGTACCAGGCAACTAGAGACCACCCCTGTAGCCTCAAGCCAGCCAGAATTCTTGAAACTAGCCAAGCCTGAGCTTCCCCGGCCCTGCCTAGCCTTTCCCATGGAAACTCCAACAAAGGCCTAGCCTGGGCCTTCCCCCCACTCCTGAGTCTGCCTAACCGAACCTGGCATTCCTCCTGTGGCCCCGTGGGGTGTGGCCCATCCCCTTCTCTCAAGACACATGAGTAACAAATTCTTCTGTCAATGGCATTGGCCTCTCTGTGTCATCACTTGGTCATACCTTCATAAGCTGAATCCCAGGTAGAACTTTAAAACAGGCAGGCATCTCACCGTGCCTCGTGGCCTCAGGGAACCCCACAACCTACAGGAAGCACAACCTGTCAATTATGCTGGACCCATGACAGTCTGCCAGTGGCACTAAAAGCCACCATGTGTCATGGCCACGCTGAGCACCTTGTCTCATTTGCCCATTTGACCCTAATAACCAGGCTTTGAGGTAGGTCCTGTTACTGCGCCCATTTTACAGAAGAGGAAACTGAGACTCAGGGAGGTGTAAGCTTGCCCAAGGCCAAATGACTCCTTGGTGATGCAGGAAAAATGCACAAGGGCTGAAGCTGGATGAGGCCAGCTGACTACAGGGGTGGACGGGCCCTGAAGGCCTGTCCTCAAAGGTCACTAGGACCAGAGGGCAGGGAAGAAGGGAGAAAGGAGAAGCATCTTACTCACCTAAGGCAGGAACTGCACTGCTGAGCCGCCCGGTGAGAACAATGTTTACTGTGGGAGACACAAGGAGGAGTCAGCGGGAGGCAGTGGCTCTTGGGGCCCCGACACCTGCCCTGGGCCAACAGCAGCCCTAGATGGGCACAGGACAACACAGCCAAACTCCGGGCCCCTTCTTTCATCTCACAGGGCCAGGCCCAGAGTGCTGCCAGAGACTTCCACTCCCACCTAGTCCTGCTGGGATGAGCAGAGGGGAGACCCCTCGAAGGTCTCAGGACCCCCAGCTTCTCCCAAAGAGAGCCAGGGCACAAGCCTGGTTGCAACAGACCACTCCTGTTGCTCTCCATGCCTGTGGATTCTAACTCACGTGGGAAGGGATGTGTTTCTGTCTCCCCTCTCCAGCTCGGAAGCTCGTGTGGGGGCCACCCTGGTTCAGCCTGGATAAGGGCTCTGCCTTCAAGGGGCCCCAACCACTTGGAGGAATCCCTCTGCGGGGCCTTGCCAGCCACCTGGTCTACCGGCAAGCCAGGGAGGGAGGAAGCAGTTCCAATGACCCCATTTCATAGGGATGCACAGTTAGCAGGATTCAAGGTCCACCTCACTATGCCATGCTGACCTTGAGAAGAGGGCCAAAGAACTCTCCTGCCACCCACCCCCTCAAGTGTCTACCTCCATCGGGTTTGTCCTTTGCTTTCATCTACTGCTTTTCTTAGGGGTTTACAGGACCAGGAGGAGGTATGGGCAAACTCAACTTCCCGGGGTTCAGGGTGCCTCCTTCCCCCAACATCAAAGATGCCAAGGGAGGCAGAGAGCATCTCTGCCAGGTCAGCCCCCACCTGGTGATGATGCAGGGGCAGATGCCCCCTCTGAAAACCCCAGGCTCTGCTAGCCAGAGCCCGGGCCACATCTGGGCAGAGAGGGCCTTGGGGAAGCCAGAGGGCCTGTCCTCCTGCCCTGCTCACCTGGGAAGCCCAGCGCCCAACAGCTCAGGGTCCAGAGCACACGACCACTAACAGACTGGGCAGTGGGCACTCCTGTGGGGAGTCCCAGCCCTTACTAGACTTTACCACACCTGAAACAAGGGGCCTTCCACAAGACTCAGAACTCCCTGATTCTGGCCTCCAAGAAGAGGGAGCAGCTTAAAATGGACAGGTTTCTTTTTCACTGTGCCATTTCAGTAGCTTCAAGCAAACCTACTGGGCTTACAGAATCTTCACTAGTGTCATGGTCGGGTGTCCCCTAATGACCCCAAGCTCGGATCATGGCCTCCCTCCTTCATCATGCTAAATAAAGGAGCCATGTGGGTTGAGGATTTAACTCCTTTCTTCCCCTCTCCCCCACCCAACTCAGGGCCGTGGAACGGTGGATAGAAAAACTCCTGGATAGGGCGGGAGTCCCTCCCACCCAGGTGCCAGGCCCGGACAGGTCCCAGGGTCCCCCTCCCCAAACACACCACGCTGGGCTGAACAGGCCTGCCCCGCTGGGTCTAAGAGACACAAAGGCAAGACAGGAGTCACTGTCGCCGCTGCCTCCCGCCCGGCATCCCGCCCGCGGCTCCCGCTGGCACCCGCCCCCACCCCAGGTCCCGGCAGGAAACACTTCCTTCTTCAGGGCACAGCCGGCCGCAGACCCGCCCGCCTCGCCTTTGTCCGCAGCTCCGGAGGCCCCAACCCCGCCAGGCCCGGCGGAAAGCCACTGCCTGCCTGCCCGCCCGCACCACCCGGCCGCCCCGCGCCCCGCGCCCCGCTGCCCCGGGCTCCACGCGCTGTTGCGAGCCGGGCGGGAGCCGGGGCTCGGCGGCCAGAGTCGCCTCCCAGGCCCGAGAGCGCAGCAGGCGGGGTTGGGGGGGGCCGGGGAGGGGGGACCGCTGGGGGCCGTCCTCGCGCGCAGGGCCAGCGGGGGGGGGCCCCGGCCGGGCCCGGGTCGCCCGGGGCGCGGCGCGGAGCGGCGAGGCGGGGGCCCGGACCCGCCCGGCCTGCGAGGCCCACTCACCCAGGCAGACGACGGCGAGCTGCGCCCGGGCGCCCGGCGCCCCCTCCGACCCCGCGGCCGCCCGCTTCTCCATGCCGGGGCCGGCCGCCCGCGGGCGCCGCCTCCTGTCCCCCCGGCTGCGGC